GGCTATACAGTCAGTCCCAAAAGTTTATGTACCTTAGAAAAACGCATTTCCTATAATTAAAAAGAAATCGGGCGTCGGAAGAACAATGCTAATAATAAATAGCTACGTGCTAAAAAGTATAGAAGGAAATATCTAATTAAGTATTGACGCTGACGAAAAATTTTTTTCTTCAAAATTTCGAAAAATGCTTCAAATAAAAGTTGTTTTCCTCCTAACTTCGATATTTAACGAGTTACATATGATTAATTGGCATTTTATTGATGTTGACAAAATCTGACCATCCCAGTGTCGAAACGGCGAACTTTTGGCAAAAAAATTTCATTTTTCCTTAATTACTCCTAAACCGTTGAATCTACGGGAAAATTGTATACGACCTTTCTTGTAGAGGACGACGAGATCTATAATTTCTGTATAAAAGTTTTTCGCTAGCATTAATATTTAAAGAGTTATGGTCGAAAAACAACAAAACAGCTTTTTGCAAATTACTCGTTAACTATTGACGCTAACGAAAAACTTTTATACAGAAATTGTAGATCTCGACGTCCTCTACAAGAAAGGTCGTATACAATTTTCCCGTATGTCCAACGTTTTAGGAGTTATTGGCAAAATTGGGAAAATTTTGCTAAATCTTGGAAATCGTAAAGGGTACCCCTTGAACAATCTCGAAAAAATCTAAAATTTTTTGTTGTTGTTTATTATTAGCAGTGTTCTTCAGACGTCTAATTTCTTTTTAAAAAATGCATTTCTAAAGTGCACAAACTTTTGGGATTGACTGTATAGCCAATACATCCTTAATTCATTCCCAAGCATTCCTACCTTCACACACTAGTACATTTAATTCATATTATATTTTCAAAATTATAGAAAATAAATCGAATGCAAAGGGAAAATATATACGAGCTTTTGTGAAACCCAGTGGAATTCTGTGTCGATTGCAATTCTATAAATTTCATCTGATTGACGCTACGTGTTCTATTTTTGACATAATTAACAAGAGTAAGGGAAATAAATCTTGACTCGGCTGCCTCGAGGATAAAAATGTAACCGTTAATTGAAGTAACAGAATTTACGAAAATCATTTGTGTCAACGTGTCAAATTTAAATTGAAGGTCGGGGGTGACCTTTCTTGTAGAGGACGACGAGATCTATAATTTCTGTATAAAAGTTTTTCGCTAGCATTAATATTTAAAGAGTTATGGTCGAAAAACAACAAAACAGCTTTTTGCAAATTACTCGTTAACTATTGACGCTAACGAAAAACTTTTATACAGAAATTGTAGATCTCGACGTCCTCTACAAGAAAGGTCGTATACAATTTTCCCGTATGTCCAACGTTTTAGGAGTTATTGGCAAAATTGGGAAAATTTTGCTAAATCTTGGAAATCGTAAAGGGTACCCCTTGAACAATCTCGAAAAAATCTAAAATTTTTTGTTGTTGTTTATTATTAGCATTGTTCTTCCGACGTCTAATTTCTTTTTAAAAAATGCATTTCTAAAGTGCACAAACTTTTGGGATTGACTGTATAGCCAATACATCCTTAATTCATTCCCAAGCATTCCTACCTTCACACACTAGTACATTTAATTCATATTATATTTTCAAAATTATAGAAAATAAATCGAATGCAAAGGGAAAATATATACGAGCTTTTGTGAAACCCAGTGGAATTCTGTGTCGATTGCAATTCTATAAATTTCATCTGATTGACGCTACGTGTTCTATTTTTGACATAATTAACAAGAGTAAGGGAAATAAATCTTGACTCGGCTGCCTCGAGGATAAAAATGTAACCGTTAATTGAAGTAACAGAATTTACGAAAATCATTTGTGTCAACGTGTCAAATTTAAATTGAAGGTCGGGGGAATTTGTGTAAACGAGTAATTGGCTTGCTGACGAATTAATTCAATTGGGCTCTACTAGCTTTTTTAATTGGTTCGTTCGAATTAATTTGTAGAAATGTAAATAAAGGAGGGGGAAGAGGGAGAAAGAGAAAGAGATAATATTGAATTGGATATTTAAAGCTACTGTACGAGCGATTTATGTTCATTTCTAGGAGAGATATAAGTGATTCATTATTACGGTTGTTCTCGGATTTCATGAATCACCTTGCTGACGATGTGATACGGTATTAAATTTATTGGCGACACGCGTCTGTCTAATGTTTTGTTGATACTGCTAGTAGTTGCGTTACTATTAATCGATTGATGCCGTTTGGAGAGTTCAGAGGAAAATTGGTCAAATTCAATCGTTGATAACTTCGTTAATAATGAACCGCTTTAGTTCGTTCGCTGCTTAAATTAAACCTTAAACTCTCTATTTTAATTCGGTTTATCTAAGAATTTTACGTAAATCGACTTCTATGGGACGAAAATCGACGTTAAGTCAAACCCTGTCCGATTATAAAAATTGTGTCATTGTGAAAACTATTGCACAACTTGAATCGTTGATAATCTTTTTAACAATGGACCGATTGTTCGCTGCTTAAATTAAACCTTGAACTCTATTTTAATTCGGTTTATTTAAGAATTTTACGTAAATCGACTTCTATGAGACGAAAATTGACGTCGAATCAAACCTTATCCGATTATAAAAATGGTGTCATTGTGAAAATTATTGCACAACTTGAATCGTTCATAGTTTTGTTAATAATGAACCGATTTAGTTTGTTCGCTACTTAAATTAAACCTTGAACTCTTCAATTTAGTTCCTCTAACAATTTCGTCTGAATCAGCTCCTAATTAATATAAATATCGACTTTGAACGAAAGCTTGTCCAAAAAAACTCTTGACTATTTCAGTCGTCAATGAAATCTAATTATTCATTCCTACATAAGCAAACCTACGAGATTTGAACGGGACAAAGAAATATCGGTGAACTCTATACCCATTACCTCCCGAGCCTCTCATCTGTTTGCTGTTCTACTCGAGAGATACCATCCTCCAAACACATTTCTGTCAACTGGCAGCAATCTGGATACAGAGAATAACAGAAGAAGGAACACTCTCTCCGCGACTTTGTACCCTGCAACCATTGTCCGATAGACCATTTGCCATACGTTTAGTTTTACTGCTACAAATCTCGCACGCCACTTCAGTTATTTATTCCTTCGTTTCTTACGACTGAATTCTTTCACGGTTTTTCAAAGTAAAAGGATAATTACTGCCAAGTATGTCCCCTTTTTTTCCTCGTCCAACGCTCCCATTTACATTCCACGCTCTCTGCAATTCCAAATATATAAAATACACTCTTATTATAACAACCAGCGCGATGCAGATTAATTTAATTTTTCAAAATGCTTTGTTTATTTATTTTCTAAATCATTTCCTCCGATCACCACGAATAAATATTGCGCAACTCCATTGTTCTTCTGCTTACGTAAAAAAAGAAAATTATTACTTTAAGAGCAGGAGTATTACTTTAAGTGTATAAGCATACGTAATGTGTATGTAATTCCGTTTTATTGCCAATTCAATTGAATTAAGAAAATTGAGAGGCGAGAGAGAAACATGTTGCAGCCCGCATGGGTTTCCGATTATATTAAGCGGAATTTATCTCCCCTAAAGGATGCCTAAAGAGTCTTGCATTAATTATTATTGAAAACTCGTAGAATTGCGATTGTTAAGAGAGGGTTTTTTCGTGATAATAAAGAGGAAGTTCGTTCGATTCGCGACCAGATGTAAATTGAATACTAAGGAATATCGGCAGCCGTCTTCCGTGTCTGGTTGGACAAAAACGTTTAT